GGTGATGGCACTCTGGAAACATGAAGAGGGGGAATCTGTCCCCCAGAGTCTGCACTAGAGGCGAGGTGACAACAGTATGAGCTGACGGCATGCAGACACCACTTAGTGTGTGTTTAACAAGTCCCAGCATGGGTCAGGTCACAACCACCTTAGATCTCACTGCTTGTAACTTAAGAGAAACCTCAGGATGCCAAGTGACAGATGCCAGGCTGAGTACTGCCACTGAGTAACAGTCTCCAGATGACCACATGCTCTCACAGAAATTACCTGAAATAATAGCACCGTGAAGATCCGCCTTCAGGAGCTTCGCTTGAATCATCTGCGGCTGCCTAGGAGGTCAAGAGAGCCCACAAAGAAAAGCTGGTAACAAAGCAAACAGGATCACAAACGCCCACAGCCAGCTGGTTTCCCAGGCTGTGTCTCTAGTGCACGTAAGACTTGGGATCTAATCCCATGGCAGGCGTCAGAAATAAAACTCACATGTCTGGCTTGAGCCCATTGCACAGGTCACGGATGTACTGCTTCCAGAGTTCATGCAGAGGGAGGAAGAGACTGTATCTGTCAAGTCAGAAACACGAGCTTGGGATTTCCAGTGTTTGGCAAACCAGAGCTGGGCTCAAGGCCGAGAGTAAGCACGAGGGAGCACCCGAGACTGCGTGGAAGCCCTACGTGCCCTGACAACAACGTGACCAAGGCCAAGTGCATTCCCCTCCTTGAACCTCAATATCTTCCCTGACAGAACCTTTTCAGGGCTAAATTTCTGCTCTCGAGAAGGGAAGAGGGGGCCTTCGCCTTGATGCCCTTCCTCCTGGCCAGTTGTGGGCATGATGGAGGGGCCCCTGGCTCAGAGCAGGAGAGCATCTGAAGGTGGTGATGTAGCCTCAGCCATAACAACCCAGGTGCAGGTTGCCAGGCAGGGCCTTGTGTAAGGTGGCAGGATCGTCTGGAAGGGAGGGTAAAGGACCAAGAGCTTTTCTCTGGGGTCGTTATCCTTTGTCTTGGTGCCCATTCATACCAAGCCAGGATCAGAGTCAAGAATACCAGACTCGAATCTGAAACAGGCACTTCCCGCAAGGACTCCAGGGAGGCAGCTCCAGTGCAAAGCTCTTTTGCCTTCTGGGACAAGAAAGGCTGCGTGGCTATGGAGTGTTATACAAAGCCTAAATATAGTGGCTGTAAACACAAACTCAGAACCATCTCGAGGGAGACATCCTTCCACAAAACAGTGACACATTCCTTTCAGAAACTTCTGAAATGCCAAGGCAGGACCTCTCCCTGGCAGCAACCTTTGAGTGAGTGATTCTGCTAGTGATGTTAAAGGGTATAGGAAAGCACATATTAAAGAATATCAGCCTGTTGCTATGGGCAACAGAGACACTTAGTGAGGCCAGGAGAGAAGTTAAATGTTGAAAAGTCCTCAATCTGACCAACGCCTCCCTTTTAGAGGTCAAGCCATGACATAAGAAAATTGGTAGTGGGACGCTGCCCCCTTGTGGCAGATGGTGGAGAAGCCCCTGAGGCTAAAGGGGCAGAGCTGTCCAGGGATTCCCTGGAATCCCCAGTCCAGAGCCCTACCAGGAAGACTAGGCAATGGTGAGTGGCAAGGCCATGGGAAGACTGGCGTACCTCTGTTGCTCTGCGCTAATGTCAAAGAGCCTCATGTCTCTCCTCTGTTTGGAAGAGAGGCCTTTGGATTTCTTCTGCTTTGGCTTCTGGCGAGTGAAGTATTCCAAGACCACAGCCTTGTGCTGCAGATGGCTCTCACAGTCTTGCTGGCTCAAGTGTGGGATGGTGCGCTTCAGGAAGGCCCTCACAAAGGCCTCAGCCCGCTGAGTTCCCAGCTCCTGCTCAGAGACAGGGTGGTGTGGTTCACTGCTCTACTTTCAGACACCAAGGCACTCATCCCGTTCCTGAGAGCCACCATCTTTGCTGAGCTAGGCTCACACATCTCCTGTCTGCCAAGTGTTTCCTACACACAATTACCTAGATGTAAAAGTCACACTCATGTGCTAACTGTGACACCGCCCCACACTGCAGCCAGGTCAAACGCTGACCAGGCTTCCTTGAGGTTACTCTACTGAGCATAGTACATATACAGAGTTACATGGACTCCTGGGGAAGGTTGGGCGAGACTGTTTCACGGCCGCATCAGTCCTGAAACACGCTTTGTTTCCCACCTCTCAGGCTGGAGCAGCAACAGTCTATTCTACACTGGCTGCAGGTAACTCACTCGGCCTTCATCTGCTGCAGCTCTGGGCAGTGCTCTTTTCTGAGCACCACCTCTTGGCTGGGCCATTTGTTGGGTTCTTTTTGCATCACCAGACAGTAAAAACAAGTCTGAGGTTAACTGCCAGCTTTAGGTTAACATATCAATAGTAAATGATACCCTCTTTGTGCTAATGCGGGGGGTGAAAAGACAGAATACATAATCTTTGAGGTAGTGAGGTCAGGGATGGCTAAACAATTCATCATCAATAGCAGGACAATTTGGTTCTTTTAAATACATATGTGGCCTCTCTTTCATGGAGAAATACAATTAAAGGTGGTTAACTGGCCTTTTAACATCTTGATTTAAAGGATATTCATTCTCTCTCTCTCTCTCTCTCTCTCTCTCTCTCTCTCTCTCTCTCACTCTGGGACAGGATTTCTCTGTGTAGCTCTGGCTGTCCTTGAACTTAGAGAGCTGCCTGCCTCTGCCTATAGGTGCTGGGATTAAAGGCGTGCCCCACACAACCTGGCAGGATATGAGCCACAGGTAAAGCTTCTGCCCAATTGACAAAGCCTGTGAACATCCAGAGAGAATCTGTAACATCCACGTATGAAATTGGCTGAGCACTGAACGGGGCAAGATCAAGACAGGTCTCTGGTAGGCACAGGCTGTCTGTCATTCCCTAGAGAGTGGGAGAGGACATGAAATCAGGAGCTGACTCTGGAACCCTGAGAAAGGAGCCTGGAACATGAAGACACCAACCAAAAAGACCTTGATTTGGCCTAAAGTATGACCTGTGCAGATGAGTAACCCATGGGAAAGAACAGCTAGATGAGTCTAAGAAGACACTTGGCCTGCTCTGCTGTCAAGTCTACTGCTCCCAGCCCCCTCTGAACGACTGTACCTGCACATCGTGCTCTCTGGCTTCTTTGTGAGGAAATGCACGGTAAATCACAGCTGGGGACAAACACAAAAACAGACGATTACTTCTGTTAGGAATGAGTATAATACCCAAGGCTTTTCTAACCCTGACAATAGCTACACTTATTCAGAGAAGGAATACTGAGCTGGTATGAAAAGGCAAAGCTTTCTTGGATGATCCTCCTGTTTTACTCTGCAGTGTTGAGGGTTAAACTCAGTGGCGTTTCATGCACGCCAGGCAAGTGCTTCACCTTGGATCCATGTCCTGACCCTACTGAACGCTGCTTAGTTACATATTACTTAAGACAAGGCCTCACTCTGTATCCTAGGCTGGCTTAGAAATTGCTATGGAGCCCACAGTGGCCTTAAACCCCCAACACTCCTGTCTCAGGCTCCCTGTGCTAGTTGCTGGGATTATAGACATGTACCACCTCAACTGTCTTAGACACTTCTTCTTCTTTCCTCTGGCTGGATTTGTCCTAGAAATTCCCAGGATGAGGTTTAAAAAGAACACTTCTCAAAGCTTAACGTGTTTAAGAGTCACTGGTATCTTATTAAAGCATGGGTTTAGTTCCTACTCCAGATTCTGCCTGTCTAAAAGAAGTCCTCGCTGGAACACTCTAGAGTTGTTCTCATTTAAAATACAGGTTATAGTTACACGAGGGCGGTGCTCACTAAGTAGTGAAGACTCTAAAGGTGAGGTGACATTGGTGGCTAAGGCGTGTGGTTGGTTGAAACACTACAATTTGCTGACTACAAGAAATTCGAAACAGATTTTTCACAGTTCAGAATCCTGACAAGATAAAATATAACAGTTTTTCTTCAAGTTCTAAATATGTCCAGCATGATGCTGAAATCCCTTTAACCATCCATGCTCCTGTTTCTTATTTGTTTGGAGGAAACCATCATGGTGGCACTGGGGGACAGAGTAGAGGAGTAAATGGGATAAGAAAGAGCAAATGACCAGAAAATGTAGCTCACACGACCCCCTATACATTTATCTCTAAGGTGAGTGTAGTGATACTCATGGTTAATCCTGTCACTTCAGGGGGAGAGGCCAGCCTAGTTTACACTGTGAGTTCCACTACATAGCTGGTCTTATCCCAATAGCAACAACACAAACAAAGAAACAAAAGCCCTTCTCTGTTCTCTTGGGCTTCCCTGAGTACATGTTTGCCCAAGTAAACAAATCAAGGCAGTTACCAGTTTTACATGTAGAATCTGGTTCTCCCTTGAACTGTAGATTGAGTTTGTTTACTGAGAAAAATGTGCAGGGCCTGGGACCCTAGGAATAACTTTGTTTTACCTACCCCAGATGCCTATCATCAGGATTAGAAGTCTTTCTGCATCAGTACACATGTAACAGCTCTGGTATACTCATTGCTTTTCAAGCAGTTGATTTAAAAGGACACAAATACACTCAGAAGTGTGTGTACCCATTTACTTTCATTTCATTAATTCTTCTAAGCAATTTTAGTTATTCCTATGTGAAAGACCTCTGGAGTGGGGAGACTCTCACTCAAGTCTCGGGATAATATGACCCCCCCCCAGGAATTCATGAGAGAACGTACTTGCTGCAATCACATGAGGTTTATTGACAGGACAGGAACCAGTGCACTGGGGCCGAAACTCATTTCCCATGCAGAGGTAGAGAGTTCGACCCCGAGTAGCTGGGAGAAGGGGAAGAAAACCACAACCCAGTAATCCAAAGGGTGTAGGGAGGGTCTCACTGTCAGTGGCCCCAGTCTGCCCCAGTCATACAACTGTCACTATAAACTAGAGGGCCTAGTTTGGTCCTATGCTGGTTCCCTCTCTGTCAGGCTGGAGTTGGTGAGCTCCCATTAGCTCTGCATCTGCTTCCATAAGTTGCTGGATGAAGGTTCTATGATGACATTCAAGATAGTCATCAATCTGACTACAAGGTAAGGCCAGTTCAGGCATCCTCTCCACTATTGCTTAGGGTCTTAGCTGGGGTCATCCTTGTGGATTCTTGGGAATTTCTCTATGCACATAATACTGAAGTAGAGATATGCCAAGGCATGCGATCTCTGATAAAAGGACACGGCATGAGTGTGAACAATCTCGATCGTGTCCACTCTCCCCTCTAATAGTGCTCCAGTGCTTGCTTCCCCTTCCTGACACATCTGTGTTCTGATCAAATACCACCGCCTTAGGTTTGAGATACTGCGCCTGGGAAGATTTTTACAGGACGAAGCTTGAAAAACCAGGCTGTAGAGGGGAGCAGGCACTTGGCCACAGTTATCAGGGCAGGTAGTGCCTAGTTCTGGCCAAGGCCTTGGATCCACCTCTTCTAGTTTCCTGGGGGAGAACACACTCGATCCTGAAATCTATTCCTAGCTTAGAGACAGAGTCGGGCTGATTCACACTCTGGGTCTCGATTTCTTTTGTGTGCTGAGTCAACTCCCTGGATATTGTCCTGGGACTCTTTGGAACAGGTATCCCTGATTCAGCTTCCAGTCCCGACCCTCTCCATACTGTGATCCGTGCCCAATTTCGTGTCTC